CTCAACCATTTAGTAACAATGTGTTTAGTAACTATGTGATTTAAACACTCTAAACTTTAGTACATTCCTCTGTAAAATTGTGGAATGTACAAAAATAGGTATTTAATATCTATATAATATACTGTATATTATAGATAGATATATAGTAGATATGAAATGAGATTAACTCTATAAAGTTCTTGGCCCAGTTCCTGGAATATAGTATTCGATAAGTGGATTGATTATCCATTCCTTCATCATGTTGAATTTTTAAAGTAGAGGAAGAATAACAGTAAAGAAGTAATGTGAAATAGTAGATAAAAGAGGTCTGAAGTCTACTTAATCTAAGTTTTCCATATTAAATTTGAGGAGAGTAAAGTGGATCAGAGAGAAAAGGACTTCCTCAAATTATAGGACAATCCACTGTCAGAGCCAGTTAGAGGACTAGAGTCCAATAACTCACAGTAAGAGAAGAAAATGTGGAACTTTAAGGAAATTATTATGTTTAATACAATTTTGTGTTACAAAAAGTATAGATGTCATAAATGACAAACCAATGGTCTAGGACAAGCTAAGTGTCAAATCATTGTCAAAATAAAAATAACAGTAGAGGGTTTAGAATATGGATAGATACAAATTAAATACAAAAACTAGAAATAGTGCTATAACTCCTGAAGTAACTAAAGCTCCTTGTCTTTAGAGGAGCATCACCTTTGGCTTAATACCTTAACTTGTCTTTGTATCATACCACCCTGGCTGATGAAAGGGAGGAAGAATAGGGTCTATCTTGGACTATTTTTAATTGAGAAGGTCATTCCATTCTAGGAATCCATTCCAGGAATCATAACTTAGGCAATCTCCAAGCTGGCCACTCAAAAAAAAAAAAGGAAAAATCCATTTTGAGAAGAGTCATGTGGTGCTCAGGAAAAATCCCAGAGAATGCTGAGGGTTTTGAGAAATTACTGTTCATCTTCTACCCTCCCAAACATGTCTTCAGAGGGCCTCATGTTTCATCCATTTATGTACTAAAGATAACAAAAACTAGACCCAAGTATAACATGTATTAATTCATAATAATTCATCCTTGAGAGAACTAGATAGACTCTTGGCCCCAAACATTTGAGAATTGAACTTGCATTGTGGCAGTGCATTAAGAGATATATTACAAAATGATTGACAGAAAGTAGCATTCATTTATAGAGTAAGAGCCTCCAAAAATATGCTTCTTCAAATAAACAATGAAAACACCAGCAAAAATGGCCAAAAACAACATTTCCAGCACTACTGGAAATTAATCAAAGGCCTGAAACAATCTGATGAGTGCTATTTCAAGAAAATGGCTATATCTTGATAAAAACAGTAATCTTTGTGGTGTTTTTATTTGCCCAATCCTATCCCTATCTCCTTAGCTTCACAGTAACCTTGAAAACCAACAGGTTTGCAACTACAGTAACTATAAAAAGCAGCAGTCTAGCAGCCATTGAAAAGGTCAGAATTCCCCTAAAAGACTCATCTCCTGCAAATTTTTACTACTTAATCTATCTAGAAACTTCTGAAAAGCTGTATTTTCAGACAGGTCTTCATTTGACCTGCTTCAGGGCTCTCTGGGTTGAAATCCCTGGCTCCAGGACATTTGTCAAAAACAATCATTGGTAATTGGTTAACATTGCAGCTATTTGAGGTGGTAATAGCAGAGGTAGCTAAAAAAGGCTAACCAAAACCTAGAGAACTTAAAGGAAGAGATGTCCCTTGGGTGCTTTGAACATCTGACAGAGCTCTGGGAATCTTGAAGGCTGCATGCATAAGCAGGGGTGTGTGCACACACAGGCAAAACCTTAGACTACGCTGCTCTCTCATTTTTTGCTGACTTTGAGGTTTTGCACAAGCAGAAGGGGAAGATTACAGCATAATTATCAATTGCCTACCAGAGCCTTGAAGGTTCAAGGCTCACAAAGAATCCCTCAGAAAAAGTTAAGAAATAGCGCTTCCAAATAGTTAATAAAATATTGGTTCAATCATTAGCTGACCACTAAGCTAGGCAAGCAGAAACACTAATAACTACACATGACAAAGAATACTAACTTTACAAAATTAGACAAGGAAGTTTATTAAACAAACAACAGTTGCAACAACAACAAAAACAGGTGGAAGGAGTTGTATATTACTTAGTGTGTCTAATTTCAACAAAAAGAATATGAAACATATTAAGAAGAAAGAAAACATGGGCATACAATGGGGTAAAAGAATTTAATAGAAATATTCTGAGAAAGCCCCAACATTGGAATTAATAGATAAATATTTTAAATCAGCTATTATAAATGTGTTTAAAGAGCTAAAGAAAATCACATCTAATGCATTAAATGTAAGTAATGAGAATCATGTGTCACCAAATAGTAGATATCAATGAAGAGATAGAAATTATTTCCTAAAAAGAAGACCCCAAAGAAATTCTGGAGTTGAAGAGTAAAATAAGTGAAATAAAAAATGTATTGGTAGAGTTCAAATACAGGTTAGATCTGACAGAGGAAAGAATCAATGAATTTTAAGAAAAAGTCATTTGCAATTTATCAAGCCTGAGGCACAGAAAGAAAAATAAATGAAGAAAAGTTAGCAGAGATTCAGAGACTTTTGGGACACCATCAAGCATAGCAATAAATATACAGTGGGAATCTCCAAAGAAAAGAAAAGAAAAGAGAAAGAGACACAAATAATATTTTAAAAAACAATGGCCATAAACTTCTCAAAAAAAAAAAATCTGTACATCCAAAAGCATCAATTAATTCCAAGTAAGATAAACTCAGAAAGGTGGATACCTAAATACATCATAGTCAAACTACTAAAAAATAGAATTTTGAAGGCAGCAAGAGAAACAAAGGATCTTCAGTAATTTTATTTTTTTTAATTAAATCATAGCTGTGTACATTAATGCAATCATGGGGTACAATGTGCTGGTTTTATATACAATTTGAAATGTTTTCATCAAACTGGTTAATATAGCTTCATGGCATTTTCTTAGTTATTTTTAAAAGACATTTATATTCTACACCTAGTAAATTTCACATGTACCCTTGTAAGATGCACCATAGGTGTGGTCCAACCAATTAATAGCTGGTGTCTTATCCCAAACCATGAAGGACAGATGGCAGTGGGAGGATATATTTGATGTGCTTTGTCAACTAAAAACTTGTATGCAGCAAAACTATCTTCCAAAAATAAAGGAAAAATTAGCACTTTTCCTCATAATCAAGAACTAAGAGAACTCATCACTATATACCAAACCTATACAGATACCAAAAAAAAAAAAAAAAAAATCCTTCAGAATGAAATGAAAGGACACTAGACAGTAACTTAAATTCACATGAAGATAGAAAGAGCACCAAGTAAAGGTAACTACATAGGTAAATATAAAACCCAGTATAAATGTGTTCTTCACAACTCTTTTCTTCTATTATTTACTTGGAAAGACTCATAAATAAAGCAATAATTATAAAACTGTGTTGGTGGGCTTATGAAGTATAAACATATCATCTGTATGACAATAAGAGTGCAAAGGAACTGGGTAATGAAGCTATATTGGAACAAAGGGGTTTTTTGGTATGGTATTGAAATTAAGTTGGTTTTAATATGAACTAGATCATTTTAAGTTAAGATGTTAATTGGAGTTCCCAGGGCAACCAACAGTAAAATAACTAATATATATATGTATATATATCAACAAGAGAATTAATATGAAATACTAGAAAATATGTATTTAACATACAAGAAGGGAGAAATGGAGAAATAGAGAACCAAAAGAAAAAGTAACACATAGAGAAAACAAATAGCAAAATGTCAAACATAAACCCTACCTTACAGAAAGTAGATGAAAAGTGTATTAGGCATCAAAAGGTAAGATTGAAGGAATGAAAAATAAAACCTGATATTACCATATATTTATTTCATTTTCATTATCTTTAATTTCTGATTAATATGAGGGTATATGACTAGGTTACATTATTTGCATTTGTAAGGTAATGCTCGAGTTCCTGTTGAGTTCTTCACTCAAGCCATGTGCCACATACCTCATCATTGTACCCACTAGGTGGGAACTTACTAGCTCCCTCCTTCTTGAGTTTATGTTTTTCTCTATTCTGTGGGCCTGTAGTTGTTGATCTCAAGTTTCAACAGTACATGGATGCTTGCTTTTTAGGTACTTTACCTAGGAGAATGTTCTCCAAATCCATCTAGGTAAATACAAAAGATGCAAAGTTAGATCCATGGTCTACATATACCACAAAACAATTATGGAGAGCTTCATAAATTTTTGTGTCATCTTTGTGCAGGGGCTATGCTCTGCTTGTCTACATTGTTCTAACTTTAGTATATATCCTTCCAAAGTGAACCATACATTTTAGCTTCAAAGACATACTTTAAATCTAAAGAGACTCATTGTATATTTGAAGACACAAATAGGAAAAAGTAAAAGAATAGAAAATTATACACCTTGCATATGACAACCTAAGGAGAGAAGGTGTGGTCTTACTAATATCAGACAAAACTGACTATAAGACAAAAAAAAGTTATTTGAGTTTATAAATTACACTGTATAATAATAAAAGAGTCAATATGTCAGAAAAACATAACTATTGTTAACAGATATAAGCCTCAAAATAAAACCCCAACATACATGAAAAAAAACTGACAAAATTGAAGGGACAAATAGACAATTTAACAATAGTAGTTGAAGATTTAAATGTTTCACTTTCAATAATGCATGAAACAACTAAGCAGAAGCTTAACAAGGAAAAATAAAACTTGTACAACACTAGAAATCAACTTGATCTAACAGACATTAACAATAGTAAAATGCACGCTCTGCACATGGACCATCTAATGCTTTTTGCAATTAAAAAAAAAGCCACTCCCCCCACCCCCATACACACAGCTAGGAATATAAGGGAATGTTTCCACTTGATGAAGGCCATCTATGAAAATCCCACCACTGAACATTACATTAAATGACAAAAGACTGAAGAATTTTGCCCTAAGAAAAAGAACAAGAACAAGACATGCTTATCCACTTTCATTCAATATTGCAATCAAGATTTTAGCTAAGGCAATTTAACAAGAAAAAGAAATAAAATGCAACCAAATTGAAAAGAAAAAGGTAAAAATACCTCTATTTTTACGTATTTTATAAAGAAAATTCTAAGGAATCTATAAGGAAACTATTCATATAATAAAAATTTCAGCAAAGCTGCAAGATACAAGGTCAATGTTAAAAAATCAGTTGTATTCTAAATACTAGTAATGAACAATCTGAAAATAAAATTAAAAAAAAATTATTTGTGGTGTATCATGAAGAATAAAATGCATAAGAAAAAAATTAACCAGAAAATGTAAGATATCTACACTTAAAACTACAAAACATAATCGAAATAAAGAAAAGAACATTTAAGGAATTGGAAAAATACTTCATGTTCATGGATCAAAAAGATTACTTGATCTACAGATTTGACACAATCCTATCAAAATCCCATCTACCTTTTCTGAAGACATTGACAAGCTGATCCTAAAGATCTTATGGAAATACAAGAGATCCAGAGAACCCAAATCAATCTGGAAATAAAAAGAATAAATTATAGTTGATTATCTGATTTCAAAACTTACTATAAAGGCACAGCTATGAAGATACTATAGTATTATCCTAAATATAGATATATAGATCAATGAAATAGATTTACAATCCAGAAATAGACCCAGATATTTTCTGTCTCTATTTATATAAAATGTGCAGAATAGGAAAATTTTTAGAGAGAAAAAAATAGATTAAGGGCTGAGGATAGGAGGGAAGAGGTGGGCAGTGACAACTAATGGGTACAGGGATTTTTAAAAATATTCTAAAATTAAATACTGGTGATGGCTGTACAATTCTGTAAAATACTAAATAATAGTTAATTTTATATTTTGAATGGTTGACTATTATATGTGAATTACATCTCAAATCTGTTATTAAAAATGAGTAGAACAAATAATTTTAGTTATGAAAATTATTTTAAAAGACCTGGATATGGCTATAAAATAGCTTGATATAAAATGTAATATTTCTCTAAATGTAATACAATAATTGAAATAGACTTTTGGAATAAAGATTTTCTTGTCCTCTTGCTGATTTCTCTCTGATCCTTTTTTATCCATTCAAGGTATGTCCATTCCAGAAGGTGCACAGTTCAAGAGTATTCAGCATGCCCCCTCACTCAGGGGTACTTATAAAGCTCTTCTACAACTTGAACTTTATCTTGGAAGTGAGAACAATGTAACCTAAACATTTTTACCCTCATATTAATTTGAAATGTTAAAAAAGAAAATTAAAAATAAATGTATGACCATTGTATTCTAATGTATATCTCATCTCTATCTCCACTGTATATTTATTTCTTTCTGTCTCTTTCCTTTTTCATAAGGATCTACTTATTTCTATAATAAACAAGGCAAGGGCATAGCATCTGATTATTTTTCAAAACAACAAATATGATTTTTCTTGAAGAACATTCTCTGAAGTGATTCATTTGTCTGGAACAACCAGTTCACCTGCTAATATGAGATAAGGCTGAGGGCAAGTGGAATGATGGAAAAAGCATTTGCAATCTATCAGAGTAAAAGAACTAACACTTCATGTTCATTTTTTTTTTAATTTAAAAATTAAAAGGAAGGAAAGCAACATTATTGTTGGATAGTAAATTGAAGTTCACTTGCTCCTTTTTGAATAATGAAAGTAAGGGGCATGGGTGGAAACGTGTATGAGGAATGTCACTGATACAACACTGAGGTTGGAGAGGATCTCAGAAGTATCTCCTTCCACCCCCCCTCACTTACAAAGGAAAAAATGAGGACTTAGTCACCTTCCATATTGGTCAAGCAAGTTCCTGGGGTCTTTTGCTTACTTTTACAGTGTTTTTTCCCCATTTTGTCCATATTGAATGTCCCCCATATTAATTTGAGAAAAAAATCTTCTGGGTTTTATGGTCACATGCCCTACCACTAAGGGTGCTCATTTCCCTCTATGGGAGGCAGAGAAAAGTGCAATTGTGCATCTCTCTAGAAGGAGGCATCCTCTCTGCCTTCTACTGCCTTTGTTTTATTCACATTCAACTGTGATGAAGAAAACTTCCTAAGGAACGCAAAATCCATGGTTAGAAAAAACTTGCTTTTCTGTTATAGTCTAGAATATCGGTTCTCAACCTGTGGGTTGCAGCCCCTTTGGGGGTTGAATGACCCTTTCATAGGAGTCGCCTAAGACCATCCTGCATATCAGATATTTACATTATGATTCATAACAGTAGCAAAATTACATTTATGAAGTTGCAATGAAAATAATTTTATGGTTGGGAGTCACCACAACATGAGGAACTATTTTAAAGGGTCACAGCATTAGGAAGGTTGAGAACCAATGGGCTAGAAGCTGTACAACATTGCTGAACCACTCACCTCCCAACTGTTCTATCCTACACAAGCCAGCATATGGTTGGGTCTTTTGTTACAGCAACTAAGCCTGTATCTGACAAGTATAAACATGAAAGAAAAATGTCCCTGGGAACAGGAAACAAAGACTGCCCATCTATCTTAGTCTATTCTGCTGCTGTAAGAAAAACTACCATCAACCGTATGGCTTATAAATAACAAGCATGAATTTCTCACAGGCTGAGAAGACCACAAGCAAGGTGCCAGTAGACTGGGTGTTTTCTGAGGGCCCATTCCTTGCAGACAGTGGCCTCTCCCTGAGTCCTCACATGGTGTACGGAGCAAGACAGCTATCTGGGGTCTTATCTATAAGGGCACTAATGCTATTCATGACAGTCAAGCCCTCCTGCCATAATCTCCTCTCTAAGGCCCCCGCCTTCTAATGCCATCACCTTGGGGGTAGAATTCAACCTATGCATTTTGGGGAACACATTTAGACCATAGAATCACCTCTGCACTCCCAGAATTTAGTACATGATATGACTTCTATAAAGGGCAACTCAATACAAAGTAGTGAAAGAGGAAACGGGAAGGAAAGAGAGTGGAAATTGTATGTGGTGAGCAGAATAACACAATTGCGGGTGAGTGAAAATGGAAGTTACTTTTAGTGAACATTTCCATGGGCTCTTTAATCTTTCTCTGCTAATTTTCACAATTTAGAGTTCACAGAGGTAGCTATACTGAGTTCCAGAGGCATTTTGTCATTGTGGAATTCCCCAGGCTTCCCCTGGAGGTTCCAGATTGCTTGCTTGGCCCTGATCCTAGAGTTGAATCCTATCTTTTAACAGAAGGATACATTTGTAGTTGGTTTTTAAGAGTACCACAGTCAGCATTATTCCAAACCACCTGAATCTCAGGAAAAAACGCCATCTGCTCTGCACAAAACCCATGTTTTGTGTCTGCCTGTGAGTAAAGTTGTGTCAGAATATAGAAAAACCAGATGAGTCTGACCAGACCAATGAACTGGTGATGGGAGCCTGCAAGTCATACCTCCAGGGCCGTCAAGGCTCCTCAAGGTGGGCTAAGGAAGTTGATTGAACCCCATTTTACACCCCAATAGGAGAGCCCTAATCTGCGAGAGAAATCAGACTGTTTTGTTCTTATCCTACATGGATCTATTTCCACTGTAGAAAGTGCTTCATGTATTGATATTTAATAAATGAGCAGCAGTGCCTTGAAGAAAACAAAACTAATAATTTTTTTTTTTTTATTTACAGGAGATAACAACAAAAACCTAATGCCCAGAAAGTTGTGCTAGGAAAGTAGGACTTCAAGGGGCCTATCAATTTATCGTGTACATCCTTGGCCACTAATGGATTGTTCCCCGGAGCACATTTCCAATTATTTTAACCAGGCTACTTTTAAATGACTCAGGTGGGGAGGATTTTTACAACTTCCATGGGGGAAGAGTATTCTGCGGTCTGATACACATGGCTGTTTCGAATTGGTTGGTTTGGTACGAAAATTTCCTTTTAAAATTTATTGGTTTTGTTATTTTCCACTAAGAGCCTGCTATATTGGGGAGAATTAGGTTACCACATGCTGGCTTCTTATCCTATTCATTTCAGTGTGAACCTGTGGTCTCACAAAGTTTCGGGAAGACTTCTGGATATCACTGCCGGATGCACCAACTCTATCCAACCCCAAGATCCTTGGGGAGAGAATCACGGTTTCCATCGAGAGTGCTTTCAACTGACACCTGCAGGCATCCTTCTGACCAACTATTCAGTTGTCCTCCTGTTCTAGGGGTTCATCCCTTCAGGCATCCCCCCTCTCATACTCAAAAACTAGTCCTTCTCTTCTAAGTGTTGGTGTGATAAAAGTATTTGAATTTTAAAAATAATGTGAATATACAGAATTATGGAATTTAAAACACAATGTG